CGACTTACTATATGTAGCTGTTACATCATAGTTTATACCTGACTACCGACTTACTATATGTAGCTGTCACACCATAGCTTATAACCTACCAGCAGTTGTCGTCTACGGCTCAAGGCTTCGATTTTATGGCTAATATTTCAGAATTACTTTAAGAACGGAGAGTGCATCGTCAGACAGGGTGCTCGCGGTGACACATTCTACATCATCTCAAAAGGCCTGGTGAGTTACGCTGTCTCTAAACAATATATATATATATATATATATGCTATTTCATTTATATTTATTATATCAATAATAGAGAAATTAATAGAGACCGCAGTATTATACACGCTATTATATAGACCGTCTTTTTTTCGTTTTCCGTCCCTCACCAGTAATCACAGGTGTTGTATACGATATTATCTATTATATCCAATTATTGTTTGCGGCATGACTTCATCGAATTATTCAAAGCCAAAGCTCGTCGTATTTCGCCGTGTTTACAGGTAATCGCGGCGCGCGCGCACTCGTTTCCAAGAAAACGCACCGGTAAGGGGAGAGGGGGGTAACATGAGAGGGGGTAACATGATTCTCTCCTTAATTCCTTGTCAACATCCGTCTCGAGATTTACGAGATGTAAATCCTCGGCGTCGGCACCGGTGTTGGCAGAAAGATGCGATATGATATGACTACTAGGCACTTTAATTTAATTAAATTTTTTTTTTTTTTAGGGTTAGGGTTTTTTTTTTAAGTGCCTAGTAGTCATATCCTAAGTGCCTAGTAGTCATATCATATCGCATCTATCTGCCGGGTGCGTCGGCACCGTGCTCGCGTGGCTTCCTCTATATCGTAACAACGACGTTTAAAACGCCAGCACGCCGCCGCGTGAGACGGTATATTGCGCGCATGAATGTTCGCGAACATTAGAACGCGTGTATAGAGCAGCATCAATAGACGGGAAAGTGCGGAGACGCGCGAGTGAAACATTTATACGCTGGCTTATAACCACTCATCGAATCGATGTTCGATGTTCGAGCCGCGTAGGTACTTTTTTTTGTCATGAATGAGCACGACTAGTTCGCTTAGTTCTTTCGTGACCCGATATCTCAGACCTTGGCCTTCGACAAATCAAGACTTAAGTAAAAACGCCAACAGCTGCTACGGGCAGCATTAGCTGTAGCAGGTATTAGCACGGCGCATGCGCTTATCAACCGTACGCACTAGGGGGGTATTCGCTCATGGTTCTTACTCCTCCCCTCGCTGCCCTTTACGGCATAGCAGCGAGCGAACGGAATATGTTTGAGTATATTGTTTCACGTTTAGTATTTCTCTCCAAGAAACATCTGTGAGGAAGTGTGGGGAGCCGATGGATACGATACGATCGGCAGCAACAATAAATAAAGTCGGCATTTGCTAATGAGAAAAATTCTAAGAGCTAAGAGTTCCTCAGGTTCCTTGCGTGGAAATAATTAACTAGCTAACCGAAGGTCATACATCGGCATGCCTCAACGTGCTGATGTTCTATTTTCTCCTTGAACGTTTAGGTGAAAGTGACGCACAGAGATTCGGATTCTGCCGTGGAAACTGAGATTCGCACGTTACGAAAGGGCGATTTTTTCGGCGAGAGGGCGCTGCAAGGGTAGGTCAATGAGAATACCTCCATCTGAAAATTATGTATATATAAAAGAACTCTGCGGCCGCAAATCAACCTCTCATCACGAGCGGTGACATTCACTAAATAAAATTGAAATAAACATAAAAAAATTAAAAAAATTAAACTATTTGCGCAGTTCTAACACAAATTGTTGCTGCTGCGCTGGCCCTTCGTAGTTTTCAGTAGAACGATTCAAGCCTGCTCTTAAAAGACCTTTCGAACTTCACGTAGCAACGAATAAAGATCCGTCCCAGTTGACGAGATTCTGATGTTATAGCCCTAATTGGTCATTAGTATCAAATGCTTAATCTTACGACAGTGTCTGACTTGCTTCCAAATGTCACCGCCGTATTACGGTTTTTTGCTGCGTGATGTTTGGCGGCAGAACTAGATTCAATTACACGAATCTTCTCGTGATACTAGAAATGTTTCTGCGCCAAAAAAAAGCAAGACAACTATTGTAGGTTTTACGGGGATGCGCGACTTCGTCTGCGTGTTAGCGGGGCGAAGGCTTTGTACTCGTCTTCACATCTATGGCCACTAGTACCACAAACAAGGCTGAATTAAATAAAAACTACACCTATTTTATTTCCGCGATTGCTCTCATCGTTTTTATTCGCCTTTATTAATGAAGGGATGAGATAAGAACCGCGAACATCATCGCTGTCGACCCAGACGGCGTTACCTGCTTGTGCTTGGACAGAGAGTAAGTACACGCATAATATGTAAAAACATTACGGCCCTTTCTTCTGAATGTTTAAATAAACTGCTAAGCCTAATGGAAAATTTATGTGGGTAACAAATCATTTCCATCAAGTTAGTACATTAAAGCCTGTTAACGATGTTGTTGGACGCCTGTGTCAAGAGAAAACGACGAAGCCATAGGCACTTGGAGCGTTTCAATAAAATATCATGCTAAATAAATACGAAATCTGTTTACTACCAAGTTTCTCAACTCTCCTTCACCTATTATTGCCGACAAGCCGTGCTGCAAATGCTCCAGCCACTGCATCACACACCCACCGCGCGCACGCTGCTGCACGCGACTGGCAGTACTGCACACGTACACATAAATATAGAGTAAAAATAGAGAGATAAATACACATAAATATAATAAATAGACATAAAAATTACACTCTATATTTATGTGTAAGTGTGCAGTACTGCCAGTAGCGTGCAGCAGCGTGCGTGCGGTGGGCGTGTTTTGCAGTGGCTGGAGCATTTGCAGCACGGCTTGTCGGCAATAATAGGTGAAGGGGAGTAGAGAAACATTAAGACTTTGGTAGTAAATAGATTTCGTATTTATTTAGCATTATATTTTATTGAAACGCTCCAAGTGCCTGTGGACGAAGCGTTCAAGTGAAATGTAGAAAGTCGCCTGCCATTTGCTTGATGCTTATCAGTTTGTTTTAACTCCTACTTTACGTGTGCGAGATTGATACGCCATAAATATGTCGCGTTGAACATTCGGCGTCACAGAAAATAGAGCAGACGCTTTTCTATTGGACTTAAACAATGTGATAATATCTGTAGCAATCTCTCACTAAACAAAACCGGTTTCGTCGGGAGATATCTGCAACTTTAATTTTATGTATTGCACAAATGTCTGCAGAAGCATAGCGGCTATCGTACGGCTCTTGCGCACAGAGCAAAGAGATTTCTAACGAATCAAGACAAGCATGAAGCACACAACAAACGACTAGACATTTAAATTCATCACTGTGAAGCGCGGTTTCTAATTAGCGATGAAGACTGAAACGCTGCGCGGCTACAGTTTTCATCCGATAAACCTCTTATCGTAACTTGTTCGTCAGTACGTGCACTTTTACGGCATCGATTTTTTCTGTCTGCGCGAAACATCATCCCGCATCCTCCGTCGCAAATAATTGCGCGTTGATCACATTAAATGTCATCTCCTCTAACGAGACGCGCGTGCGTCTCTATATTATATCAGGAGCGTATAATGACAAATATACGCTCCTGTCATTATACGCTCCTGTGCCTCCTCCTATATGCCTCCTCATAATACGTCATTATACGCTCCTTTGTCATTATACGCTCCTGATTATATATATATATATATTATCAGGAGTTTATCTCATTAACTCCTGATATTATGGTTAAACTCGACACACCCGTCGGGCGGTGACCGTTGTTTGAGCAGCATGAACATTTCTCGGGTGCGCCCCGATGCAGTAATTATATCAGGAGTCTATCAATATATTCCTGATTATATATATTCAATATATTCAATAGACTCCTGATTATATATATAAGCGCGTGCCGCAGTTGCCTCGCTGAATCGTAGGCGCTAACTCGACCATTTCGATTAGCTGTTGAAAAACAGCTTCAGAATTAAATCTCTCTCTCTCTCTCTCTCTCTATCTATCTATCTATCTATCTATCTATCTATCTATATATATATATATATATATATATATATATATATATAGTATAGTGTAGTAGTTAGTAGTTCGGTTTGGTTTCGGTGTACGTTAACTTACTTTCGTAGAGTAAGTAACTAA